TACATCGGGACTAGGAAGGTTTCACGGCCTAATAACACACTTAATCACAGGGACGCATCATCTATACCTGAGGGGATTGGCTCACCGAACACAGACTCCTCCCACACGCCATCTCGCCAGACCGGCCGCACTCCCAACAGCACCACCCACCACTGCCCCTCGGCATCCTCAACCAGGTCCGCATGCCCAGTATTCTGGACTTCATCGGAGAGTCCATTCCGCCACAGAGGGTTGGTAGGCGCGACCTCCCAGGGACCGAGCGGGCCGGTTTTACTGCGCGACACCCATTCACAATGCCCACTCTCAGTGCCTCCCTCGGCCGTGAAGAGATAGTAGTACTCCCCGCGACGGAAGAGATGCGAGCCCTCAGCCACCCCAGATGCTGATTCCCGGATCAAGTGAGGCTCGGCCAAGGAGGCGCCCGTCTCCAGATCTACCGGCACGATGTGCACGACGAAGTCTTTCAAATTGGCATGGGGGGTGCGGTTCAGTTTGCGGTAGGTCGATGACAGGTAAACGGTGCCATCGTCGTCCCAGAAAAGCTGTACAGCATGAGCCTTGACCGGAATTCAAGGAGACAAAGACACCCACATCCTGATCGAAGCCGACTTGATCGAAGTAGACTGGATCTGACCACGAGTCGGAATCCCAGATGTTCGCGGTCTTCACGTAGAACCCCCGCGGCCAGACGCGGTCGTCTTCTTGGGGTCGATAGCGTTGAAAACAGGCAGCGAGACAATAAAAGGACCCCTCGTGGTAACGCAGTGTGGTGGCCCAGACACCGCCACCGGGCTCGGGGGTTTGGATTTGCAGCTGGCTCGGGCGTGTGAGTGCATGGCCGATCAGGGTCCACTTGATCAGGTCGGTGCTGTGGTAGATCGGAGCTCCAGGGACATATTCAAACGAAGAGGTGACCAGGAAGAAGTCAGAGCCAACCCTCACGATAGAAGGGTCGGGATTGAACCCGGGGATGATTGGGTTGGTATACATGACGCACGCAGTGGTTTGGAGATGCCACCTTGCATTAGAGTCAGAATGAGGGGGAATCTCCAGTTTTTGCAGAGAAGCTTCTGCATGATGATTGGTGGAGAAATACTTCGAGCATTGCTTGGCTTTTATGAGACATGACTTAAGTGGTATACTTCTGAGCGATCATACAACCAACAACGGCCTTGAGATGCATTCAATGACTATGCAGTAAGGGTGGTGATCGCATAAACCCTCCTGAGCCCCATATTCACCCTTATCCTCACGCCAGAACCTCTCCTGGCGAGTGAATATTCTTGTGAGTGTGGCCGTTGATTACGATCGCGTGTAGACGATTCTTGTTCTGCAAAATACTGATGTCGTGCAAAGGATCGCCATCTACAAGAATCACATCGGCGAAATAGCCCGGCTGCACTTTTCCAAGCTCGTCCGGATAGCCCATGAGCTCGCCCGCCATCGCGGTCGCAGCCAGGATGCTCTCCATCGGCGTGTACCCAAACAAATCCACCAAGTGCTTCAGATCACGTGCATAGGTGCCATGGGGGGCCCAGGCAAACCCGTAATCACCACCAGGGAGGACGCGGATCCCCCGACGACGCATCTCACGCATGGCTTGACAGGCGACCTCGACCTCGTACGTGATCCCCTTCTGCTCGGCCACTTTGGGCGACACTCCGTAAGGCTCTGCATCACCCTGCACCATCGCGTACAAGAGATTGATAGCCGGAGCGACCCAGACCGAGTCCTTGTGCTGCTCGAGAAGATCCATACCTTCTTCATCGGTGAAACTTGCATGATAAATGACATCGACCCCGGCCTGCACACATTGCTTGACTGAGGCAGCACTCCGAGCATGGGCGCAGACCCGTTTGCCATGGCTATGTGCTTCCTCCACTGCCGCAACCGTCTCCTCCAGATCGAAGTACGTTTCCTCACTGGGCATTGTGGGGTGTACGTTGTCGCCGGTCATACTCAACTTGATATTGTCAGCGCCCAGTTCGACGAATTCTCGAACCACCTTGCGCATCTCCTCCGGCCCATCCGCATAGCGCGAGATCTGAGGAACGATCGCTCCGTCAGGCTTGGTCAACTCTGGACAGTTGGCCAAAGTACGTGGGCCGGGGATTAATCCCGATTTGATTGCAGCTTTGATAGCAATGTCGAGTCGCGGTTGGGCCGCAGCAGCTCCGAAACACATGGTGTAGCCGTGGTCAAGGTAGGTTCGAGCTGAGTTTGCGGTATGCAAGACATGTTCCTCGAGTGGAAGACTGGTGAGTTCATCCAGTGTAGCCGCATTGTTCCAGCTGAGGTGAGTATGCGAGTCCGCCAGTCCGGACATGAGTGTCTTGGTGCCACCACCGTCGATGACCAGTGCTCCGTGGGTGGCGGTGGGATCGACTTGGCCGACCGAGAGGATGCGCTCGCCTTCAATCAGTACATCACCACAATATGGCTCTGCGCCGGTTGAGTCGAGAATGCGGACATTCCGAAACAGAATTTGGGGTGGATCTTGGGGGCCGAGATTGTTGATAGTAATGTCGGCCGGTGTTGGTTGGTATGGGCGTCGGTGGACATCTCCAAGGGAACCCATGATGCCTCTGCTGGGGATTCCACTGGGTGCAAATCGTAGCCCATGGTGGTCGGAGGGAAAGCTTTTGTAACCATCGCGGAGCAGCCATGACGAAGGTCAGGCGGGGTTCGTGGCGGGGGTTGCATTTCCCCTCTCGGCCATGCAGGGATCATGACCATTCACACCCACCCCAATGGAAATCTCAACTTTTCGGTCGGAGTGGATGTGTGCACGGTGCTGGGATGCTAATCCCTGGGCTGATGCAAGTGGCAGGACTGGAGATCCAATGGGCTGATTCAATGCCAGGGTTTTGTCAGATGCCGTGAAGGGGAATAAGCTCCGTGTACAAGAAAAAGCAAAACACCGATTCGGCTTATTCGAGAGGTTCTCGAGTCGTCATGGCTCCTCTCGATGTTGCATGAAGGTCAATACCCCGTTCGGTGGGCGTCTGCAGCTGTGAGGTGCATAAACATGCTCGAAGACCAGTGACTAGAGTGTCTCCACATCCTCCAGATACCCTGTCACCCTCTCTACCAAGATTCTTCGGGGCTCAGCCTGGTCGGGATCGCTCAAAGCATGCGATGCGCCCGGGATGATCGTGCTGTCTCGGTGCCACGTCTCATCCCCGAGAATCGTCCGCCATCGCTGCAACAGCGCCACCTTATCGACCCACGGAGGAACCGACTGATCCCGTCCAGAATACAGCACCATCAATTGGCCCTTTCCATGCAACACCCCTCGGGCCCGGATCATGCCAAAGGTGGTTTGTAGGTGCTCGTCCGCAAGATCCGAGCTGAACAGGTCGTCTTCGTCCGGTCGCTGGGGGCTTTGGGGACTGAGCAGGCTCAAGAACCGACGACTGCTCAGGGGCGTATCAGCCGGGTAGTACATGCGCGTCGTTGTGGCCAGTGGCACAATCGTGTCATAGATCGTGGACCCATCCCCGCCCCCGGTCTCATACGTCCGCTTTTGCGCTTCCTGAATCGTCTTCCGATACACTTCCTGAATTTCCTCCGGAGTATCGTACTCGGTGCCGAGCTTGCTTAGCCACAAAGCAGCCTCCCGGTCGGACACCGGCGCCTGCATGATCGCCCCATCGACTGATGGTCGAGTAAGACCCACGTATTGTCCTTCGGGAATGTCTCGATCCAGAATTGGGTGGCGTGGGCGCGGGTTGGCGCAACTGATGTAATGCATGACGTCCTGACTTCCGGTGGAATGGCCCATGATTACCACCTTCCCGTGCCCATATAAGGATTTCTTGTGGTCGCGAATGTAGCCCACGCACTGAGCCATCTCGTCAATGTCCTGCGCAAGCGAGCTCATGCCCCAGCCGGCGTAGGAGGAGGAGAGCAGCGGTGTGACGACGGACCATTCGGTATCTTGGAGGGCGAGAATGAGATCGGAGAGGTAATCGACCGTGTGTAGGCCATCGGAGAGACCTCCAATAAAGATGAGGGTGTGAGGCTTGGGGCGAGAGCCGCGGATGTACTCGAAGGCGACCAGTCGGGGGGCCTGAGAGATGGTGTTTGGATGTTAGCACGGTAAGCGAGCGCCTGGGGAGGGGGACGTTGAGGGCAGACTGGTACAGTACGTATGGGTGCAGGATACCAGGGTGGCCTTTGGGCGAGGCCAGAGCAGACTGAATATGCATTCTGAATGATCACTTTCAGGGACCGCTATTAAGAAGCAGGATTGCGTTCACGAAGAAGTGAGTGATGGAGATGAGTCAAAATTGGGGGGTGGGAAGAGGGGAAAGGGAGAGGAAGATGATGGCGGCGAAAATAATCTGATCCGCCCCCGGGGGGTTCTTATCAATCGGTCGGTCTACATGTATGTACGTCGTGTACCGTCCCGCCCGGCTGACACCTGACAATGCTGGCACCAACTCACTCCAGGTTGGAAGGAGGGATATTTGAAAGCTAAAACTAAGAACCAGTGATATAAGATGATTCCAGCACCTCTAGTTGCAGATAAGTGATTCTCAGGGATAGTACACTTTTCAATGAGGTGCACATTACTCCATCGGTGCAACATATATATTCTTTCCGGTGCAGATAAGGATGGACTCTGAGCACATCTTACGATAATACTCAACCACCCTTGCTGAATGGAATCGAAACAGAGACTTACTCGTTCGACTGTAGACTACCTATTAGAGACTACCGTAGCTATACCCGCAAGTCAGGAGTAACATAGCGCTTGAATCGTTGGGCCTGGGAGCTGTGCTGGAGCTGTGCTGGAGCTGTCCCGGTCTCTGTCGCTCTCCGTAGATCCGCGCGGCTGCCGGATGACTAAGAGACGAGTCATCGGTCGGCTGTTGATCGTTCTCATCTCTTCTTCGCCGCACTCTTGATGATGATGATGATGATGATGATGATGATGATGAGTTCTCATCCGTTTGAATGCAATCTAATTTCTAGCTTTCTACAACTTTCCGAGTCGAGGCCAACCAGTCAGGCGAACGTTCTCATCTCATTTAGTCTTATCCACAGTGCTACGAGTACCTTATGGGAGGTTGCGGTGTGATTGGGGGCCCCACCTAACGGGTCCAGCCGCAGGCCATTCGCGTCAGGATGAGTCGATCATTCCAAGTTTCTACGGCCTGCTGCCCACAGTTTACTGTTTCCTGAAACTACTTGAGCAAGGGCACACGCGGTGACACAAGTTTCAATGCAGACAATGCTCGTAACAGGGGGCTCTTCAGCGAAGACGACTGCACAAAACTCGACTGCACCGCGATCTCCTGAGCACGACCATTCATCTCGAAGACCGATTCGATGGACAAGGGCTTGCCCATGTGGTTGGGCCCCGCCGTAACAGAATTCGTCAGCCCTATCTCGTCGTCATTGGCCGTCTTCTTCAGCCGCTCAAACCCGAAGTCTAACGTTGGTCCTCGCTGGCTGAATCGGTGGCCCTTTTGAACACCCTGCCTCGATCCACTCGGTAGCTTTCGTGGTCGTTCAGATGACTCGGTCGTCGATCGTCGGGAATGGAACTTGGACGCGAGGGTCCGATGAGCCAGCCGTGCCAGAGGTGCAAGATGAGGCATGCAAGCGCAGACGACGGCGACCGATGGCTCAATGCTGGACCAGATGAACACGGGTCCCATCAGCCAGGTCAGGTTCGTCGAGCTCATGAAGATCGACAGGTATCGGATGCGAACGATGCTGGCAACACACATACTAGCATGCACCGGCTTAGCTGGATCCATGGTGGATGTGCTTAGGGGTACCGAGGAGGACGTACAAAATACCCACCGCCATGATTCCGCTGATGGCCACTTTTTTCTGCACACTCATTTGCAGCTTGACGATCCGAGGAAAGGGGATGATCCAGATGATGAAGTCATTCAGCATGTTGAGGATGCCCGCTGCCAGGAAGAATCGGTCCACGTCGATGCATTTGCCGCTTGTCGCGCTCAATTGCGTCCAGAAATATGTGACGGGCTTGCACGAATTGCTCATGGTCACCCAAACGATGATCGAGTAGGAGAGTGTCAGGAAAGCGCCGAACAACAGTGCAACTTTCAATATCGGCTTCAGGGGCGAGAAGAGTCCCCAGTAGAAGCAAAGAATGGAGAGTCCGGTGCAGGTGCAGGAGGAGGCGTAGATGAAGGTATAGGAGAGTAAAAGCTACTTCCTAACCCATCAGCACAGGGGAACCGCTTGTTGGGGAAAAGGGGAATTTTCGACTGACCCGGTAAAGGTGCATCAGTTCCTCCAGTGTGACGGATCAAATGTGCTCCCAGCTTGCCATCGTTGCAGCCCACCGCGGTATATCCCGCAAGTATCATCATATTAGCGTTGGCGTTCCCACTTTTATTGAGTAGGTAGTTATTTCGCCAACGACGGATAGCCTCAACATCACAGCCGAGGTCCGAGCCGAGAAGAGAGGCTCCGATGTTGCAGATATTATAGCACAGAGAGCCGGTCAAACTTGTTTTAAGTTTAAAGGGCCTCAAAGTTTCAGTTTTGAGCAAACAAGACGAGTCCACAGTAGACATCCCGCTGATCGCGCAACTCGAGTGGAAACCCCACGCTGAACTTACTGAATTGCGAGACTACCTACACACTGCAAGACAGTACACAGAAGACTGGCATTTATTGGAAGAGCTGGTACTTGTGTGCATGGTTCAGACTCGAAGTCGAGCTACTCAGATGGATGATTTACCGAGTCACCTACAGAAGCTTGTCGCTTGGATGGCGACGCAGCTTGAATTGTACCAGGCCGGAATGAATCAACTAGTTTCCCAGGACTTTCGACTCTGCGACTTGAACGGTGACCTTGTATAAGATAGGTTTGACGATATCATTCTTCCACTAAATGGTTCACCTTACGCTGTGTTCAGCACAGCTGTGGATCGGATGTGCAAAGCATACACAGCAATGTTTGCTGGTACACAACATGCGCTGCATCTTCTATCAGAGGATGACCTACTCCAGAGTTTCTATACCCTTGCGGATGCTTGGGACTACAATGAATTTATTCAGCTCATCGGTCACACAAACCCACGCCTGCGGATGCTGGAAGTTGGCGCTGGGACCGGCACTACAACATTCAGAGTACTGAAAGCGTTACGCTCCCCTTTTGGAGAACGCCTTTACCACATCTACACTGTCTATGCGACCTCGGCCATGGCATTGGTTGAGAAGGCAAATCTGCAACGGGGACAGGTGAGCCTACAAGTCCAGGGCCCAGGAATTCACTCATGACTAGTTAATAATCTGCACTCTCCCAGTCGATCCTCATTCACTCCGCGTGTGGGGGAGTTGGCCATGCTGCTATCCAGGTTGCCCAGATGATAGGCGCCAAGGTAAACTTCATCGCTCGGGCACCAGTCGGGGCTGATACTTGCCTAGATCTACTGTACGGTGGGAGGAAAGAGAAAAGTCAAACATCTGGTTTGAAACTGTGACATACCACGCTCGCACACCTTCCGTTCGTCTGATTGATCGTTTGTCCGAGGCGTGATGGAGGCCACCAACGGCCGAGGAGTGGATGTGGTTCTCAACTCATTGCCCGGTGACCTTCTCTACGCCTCGTGGACATGTGTCGCCGAGTTTGGAGTCATGGTCGAGATTGGCATCCGTGATTTCCGTCGCAAGGCCAAGCTGTCTATGGAGCTTTTCGAAGCGAATCGAACCTTCGCTGGACTTGAACTGAAGGGAATATGGCGTGTCCGACCCTGGATGGTGACCGAGTCAATCTCCTTGCCTGATCTCCAGTCACGATTCGATATTGCTGACGGACAGATAGGGTTCTCAAACGCTGTGTCGACTGGATCGAGGCTGGAGTGATAACGCCCGATCCGATCTCGAACATCTTTCCGGCCGCGCATATCCACGAGGCCTTCCGCTTCATGTAGTCAGGTACCCATATCGGCAAGATTGTGATAACAATGCCAGACGATCCCATGGCTTCGGTGACTATGAGAGTCAAATCAATTCCGGTCTTCCAGCAAGAGCGGAGTTATTTGCTGGTTGGCGGGCTTGGTGGCCTGGGACGAGCTGTGGCTTCGTGGATGGTTGAACACGGTGCACGCAACCTGATCTTTCTATCACGGACTGCATCACACGCAGCTGACAGTGATTCATATGTGCGGGACCTGGAGTCGCAAGGATGCCAGGTCCAATTGGTGGCTGGTAGCGTCTGCGAGCTCGTGGATGTCAAGAAGTGTGTTGCGCAGGCCACCACCCCGATCGCTGGCGTCTTGAACATTTCTATGGTGTTGAGGGTGCGTTTTTTTCATTTTCCTCCTGCTGATTCTGTTACGGTGCTGATTGCAAGTATCATCTGTACAGGACATTTCTCTGACGAACATGACAAATTCTGACTGGGTAACTGTTGTGAAGCGCAAGGTGCAAGGCACTTGGAGCCTACATAACGCTCTCCCGTCTGATCTGGACTTCTTCATCCTCATTTCATCCTGCAGTGGCATCTGTGGGCAGTGGGGCCAGGCAAACTATGCTGCTGCCAACACCTATCTGGATGCATTCGTGCAGTATCGCCATCATTATGGTCTCCCAGCCTCCGTCATTGACCTTGGTGTGATGGGCGACGTCGGTTTTGTGTCTCGCAACCCGAACGTACTAAGGCAGTTCCAGAATAGCGGAGCCTTTGTACTCAATGAAGACATGTTCCTGGAGGCGATGACATTGGCTGTGTAGCAATCTCATCCACTTAGAACTAGATTTCCTATCAGAAAATATAGTAATCCAAGCCAGATCGTCCTAGGCGTCAACACAGCTGTACCTGCCGCCTCTCCCGCCAACCGGGTCGCATGAAAGAACGAAGTTCGCTTTAGTATCTATTATAATCTTAACCGGGATGCTGAAACAATTACACCTGCGTCATACAAGCCAAACAATCTAAGAGAATTCCTCGCTTCCTCCGCCACACAGCCAATTCTCCTGAATGATGAGACAGCGGTGATGAAGATCACTGATGCTATTGCAGTGACTTTGGCTGATTTTGTTATGAGAGACAAAGACGGCATTGCCCTAACAGACCCATTCTCGAGCCTTGGAATTGAATCCTTGGTCGTTATGGAGATGCGTAACTGGATTCGGCAGCATCTTGGCGTGGATAGAAGTGTGCTGACGATCCATCGCTCCTCTTCATTGTTAAAGCTGGGCGAGAATATTCGTGACGAGCTGTTTGCTCGTGTGAGTGGATGAGGGTTGAAGGCAGAGCAGGTGGTTGTTGCCATCGTGCTGGTTTATCTTTCGGATTTCTGATTTGGTGACTTCCGGCATCTCTTTGTATTCTTTAATATCCAACCACTTGCTTTGAATCAACTACATGACTTGGCCGTGTCTGGCGCTTTTGTTTTGAACACAAGCTTTTTTGAAAGAATCTAAATTAATTACTGTCGTTTGTCACACTTTTGACATCCGTATTCTGTTCGATGCCGTGGTAACAACTCTATAAGTATCCGGCACACTCTCGGCTCAGGTCAACTCCAAGGCCCACGCCACTGCACTGACTTTCACGATAGTCCACTCTCACGCCAACTAATCTCTCAACTTTACTCTCCGGAGAAACACGAATAAGATGAATCGGGAACTACCTAGTGGAAAATGGCAGTGGTACTACGCCGACCATGCCTTCGTGCCGGAGAACCACCTTAAGTTCCGTCAGGACATCACTCGGTGGCTTCTTGCACGACAGGGTAAGCCCGAGATCGGCGCCGATGGCCAACCAACGGAGCTCACTGAGGTCCAACAGCGACTCATCCGCGACTCCCTGACGCGCCGCAACCGGTTTCTCTGGGTGCAGACCGAGTCCGCTCGGATCTATACGGAGGAAGAGAAAAACGAGGCTTTCGCCACGGGGGCACCACTTCGGGCACCCCCTGAGGCCAATGCTGTCCTTGAGGCAGCCCGGCAACCCCCCCGCGAGGAGATCATCGATCCGGTCACTGGCAAGTTCGACTGTCCATGTTGCTTCCGCAGACTCCCAGCCCGATACCTGGAGTTGAAGGTGTGGTGGAAGCATGTCGAAAGCGACGTTGGTAGTGCGACATGTTTGTTGGACCGCTGCCTGATGAAGCCGCAGCCGTTTGCTATTGATCAGTTGTACGATCATGTTCGACTCTATCATGACCCGGAGAAACTATGGACGCTGCGTGACATTGACTCGGCGCGGCGATTTCCCCTCGATCCCTTTCCGGAGAACTGCCCAATCTGTGACTATACGGATGATGATAAAGAGCGGGTCGTGACTCATATCTGCAAGGAACTCCGATTCTTTGCGTTGATGGCGCTGCCATGGGCGACCGACCAGATGCTGATCGTCGGGCAACAGTGGCAGGAGGAGGTCGATCGCTTGTGGCCTTCTCACTGCAATGTGCTACCTTGTGGTACTTGGTCGAACGACGAGGCCTGGGCCAAGCGGGCGGCGAAGAAGCGAATCCTTCAAGAGATTCATGAACTCAATCTGGAGGATTCGTAAGATCCTCAGCACGGTGGTGATGAGGATGGTCGTGTGGTGGTCCCATTTGGTCTGCCCAAATTACTCCCATTCCCGTATGATGTCACCTGGTCGGGCTTACGATATCGAATACTACTTTCACAATCTTCTTTCATTCAATCAATCAATCATCTCGTATATCTTGGACCCTCTCTCGGAGGTTGAAGTACCAGTAAACGTAAAGCTGCGGTATTAAAAGAAGTCCATCACCGCCAGTGTATCTTTCAGCAGATGCAAAGCTTGAATACCACTTTGACTTCCAAGTTCATCCCGCCAACCAAAGTCTGTGTCGACAAGGCATGCACTACGTTGGCAAATCCCGACTTCCTTTCGTCGAGAGTGGTGCGTTCGGTTGCGGAGAGCTATTCGAAGCCGGGAATCAGTAAAGAGACCATCTACCAAGCAGAATTCAAAGGCATGACGCACGAGGAATGGAAAGACAAGACTTCCCCGGGCCGTCCCGGATGGAACGGACATAGGGGTGAATTTCAAGTCCAGCTCAGCAATGGCAGGCAGTCGGTTGTAGGTTTCTTGGATCTCGGTGAGAGCGGCCAGGTAGAAGGTTTCCAGCGGCTCGATGGCCACGGGTGCAAGGCCGAACTGGTGGTGGTGCCGTGTCAGTCGCTGGTTACACCGGTGCCTCGAGACGGACAATGAGAGAACACTTACGGTTGCAATCTTGGTGACTTCCATCTGGGAGGGAAGGCAGATTTGAGTTGGCTGCTGTCGAAAAGGATGGAAGAATGAGGTGGAAGGAAGAGAAAAGGATGAAGGAGAGAGGGACGGTGTAAAGTAGAAAAAGACAATGTGAGAGAAGGGCGGAGCCCCAAAGGCGAGGAAGACGCAGCAGAGTGAATACCGTGTTACTGTTCGTTCCAAGTCCAAGTAATCGCGACTCACTGCTCAATTAGGCTAAAGGCTAGAGTTGAATGTCCAAGTTAAATTTATCTAGTTGACTTACACTCATTTCTTCCTGAAAGGCTGAATGAATAATATGGGACATTCTTCTCATCCCATCACCCTCAAAGCTTGACTTTGCGGGACTGCTTCTCAGCAATCTTCTCGTCCTCCACCTTTGCAACTGTTGCTGCAAAGGCAGCTTCTGCATCGTGCTCTGCCAGCCAAACCGTACTGGCCCGATTCTTGAGACGGCGTAGGAGTCGCTGTTCTTCATCTTCCTCATTGTCCCCATTTGCCGACTGCCCCTCAGAAGCTTGGTCGTGCACAATGCGAAGTAATCGCTCAGTATGAGGCTGTCTCGCTCTACTGTACAGCTCCAGTGCTAGTTGGATACTGCTTTCCGGAATAGACTGCTCTGCATCCAGCACGTTGAGAGCATGCGCAAAGGCGAGTCCGAGGGTTAAAGCATCGTCCAAGGCCAAGGAGCCGCCAGCTGCGAAAGCCCCGCCATGGGCATGTGCAGCATCACCGATCAAGGTGACTCGAGGGGCTAGGACCCAGCTGGAAAGAGAGTCTCCAATGAAGTTCGGGTAGAGTTTAGTATAGGGAGTGAGCTCCGTCAGAGCTTTGACAACCGGATTCCAGTCCTGAAGCATGATTTCAGTCGTCAAACCCGCACCGCTACTGAGCAATGGAGTTGGCTCACATACCTTGTATCTGTCACGGAGAAACTCGACATGTCCTTCATCGTCCCATGAAATGCTCTTCTCGATCTCTTCCGTGGTGCGTGAATCGCTGTACGCACCAACCGTGGTGTATTGCTGTTTGCCTAAAGGGGATGAGAGTAAGCCAGCTGGCTCTGCTTGCCTCGTGCAGAACTCACCTACCGAGGCGAGATGCGAAGAAGTTATCCTTTGGTCCCCACTGACTTTTGAATTAGCCTTGGCTGCTCTCGATTGCGACGCTAATCTAGTCAAGTACATACCCAGTGAATCGAATCCGCTGGAAGATCGGCGACCTTCCCCTCTACTAGGGATGCGTCAAATGTGGATCGCATAAAGACCTTCCCGCTGAACCGTAGCTTGTATTGGGGAATGAATGATTGTCGGACGATCTGCATTCGACCGACCCTGTTAGATTGTGACCGCACGATGATAGCCCAGTGTCCGGTTGAACCCACCGATCTAAGCCCATCTGCTCCGATCAGGATGTCCCCGTCGGCCCTCGTGCCATCATCAAAGTATAGCGAGACACCCTGGTGATCGGATTCGGCGCGAACGGTCTTTTTACCCAAGTAGATGGACTCTCGAGGAACGTGTTCGAGAAGTGCGGTATGAAGATGACCCCGATGGAAGCGGGTGGTGGCGTGGCGAGGCTCGGGCACATCGTTGTGTGTATCAACCGAATGCACTTGGTTCGTCTTCCAGTGCCTGCCAACGATTGAGTTTGCGTCAGAATTGCCATTGCCCCTGATGTCTCCAATCCTCGCACACCCCTACCGGAAAATCTGCGGAAAGCCACTCGGCGATCGGAATCCCACTGCATCTGAGAGAGCATTATGTACCCCGAGCCTTTCTAACGTGCGCATGCCCTAACCGAACGATTGAAGGTTAGCTTGAGTAGCGTTTGATTCGTATCCGTGCGAAAGAAGGTCATACATTGGGACTGAGCGCAATGCTAGCTCCAATCTCCGTCAGCTCATCCGCCTGCTCATACAGGGACACTTTGAGGTTCGCGATGGAGGTTTGGCGGGTGAGGGAAATTGCAGCCGCAAGGCCGGCGATACCGGCCCCTGCGATCAGTACCCGGACATCATTCTCGTTCCGAGCCATGGCGAACGAACACAGTGAACGAGCAGACAGTCCCAGAGAGCCCGCCCCGTCAGCAAGAATTTCAAGAGTGAACTTGGAAAGGGAGATAGGATGCGCAAAGACGAGGAATTTATTCCTCTGTGTGTCAAGCACGTCAACCCTGCAGATGTGACGCGACTACCGTCATGGGTCTTTCGCATTCGGGTGATGGGTGACCCGTATCAAGGGCGTTGATAAGTGTTACAAAAGTGCACCCAGCACGGTATAGAGTATTGCATAGGCATGCTAGTACCTCGGGGAAGACGAGCTGGCGACATCCCCCGGTCGTCTTTGTCGGCCGGGGTGGTTGTTCGATCTTTGAAGCACGCAGAAAGTTAATTGCCTCAGGCAGCCGTGAGACTTGGCGCAGTGGTGACAGTCACGTGACATATGGCCAGCCTCACCTCTCAGGCACCTTCTAGCTCCAATACGCAGCCTCAGGCATCCTAAGGCAGCATGAAGCATCGGGGATTGTAATCCTGCATGTCGCTTGAAGGGGTAAGAGGCCCCAAGGTACTCCGTACTCCGTCCTTCATATGAGTATGTACTGTACAGTACGTACTACGAGTATGTGCACGCCTAAGAGCGGATCCATGCGGGACGTTGGGTTCATCAAATCTCTGCAGATCGACGGTACTTGCTCCGTACTCACACCTTACTTTACTTTAGATTCCCCTCCCCTGCGAGACAGTGTGATGACGGCGATGCATACATCATGTACTGTACAGCCACGAGGGTGGATATGCGACAAAAGCCGTTGAAGCGACCATGGTTCCGTCCTCGACGGTTGAGAAACGGCCGACCGGGCTCATTCGGCCGTGACTTTGCGGGCGCAGCCAGAGCCAGAACCAGAACCACTTCTTTGTCTCGGATTGGTGAGATTCCCCAGAAGAACACATTTTCCCTCACATACTGTGTACTGTGTACTCGTTCTGTGTAGGTGGGTACAACGCATGCATCTTGATACGGGGTGTAACTGACGGGTAAGGCCACCGAATCCCGGCGGTCGCAGATGATTTGGAATGGTCACCAGTTACCGAGCCGTCGTCCGAGATCAGATCGAAGGGGATCGGTGGATGATGGTGGATGGTGGATGGATCGCTCTCCTCCGACCGATCATAGCCCTCGACTTGTCGCCACTGGATGACGTGGCGACCAGGCACCTGGCACCTGGGGAAAGAAAAGGCCTTAGTCATTGTGAAGCGATTGAATGACTGAACGATTGAAGAGGGAAAGGTGCGAGGATCCCAAGCCCCAGCCCCACCCAGACAGACACCCTTACTGATTCCTTGCCCTTACCCTAGCTACGCCCGGACTTCCCAGTGACCGTACAGTACTTCTTAACCCTGGTCACCACCACTAACTTTACTGCCGTCTGCCGCAGAGGTCCAGTACGGAGTCCCCATATTGTCCAGTCCTGTCGTAGTTATACTGGCCTCCACCATCAACTTACGGGTCATATCAACCCGCCTTTCTTTCTCTTCTCTCTTTCATAAATATCGACCATGGCCGTCGACAGTTCGTATGACGGCATTGTCCACGATTATTATTAACTGACTCTCCCCGAATCGTATTTCTTCTTTCCTACCAAACCTCAAACCGACTCTCTCCACCATGGACGACTCCCAGCCGGTGGTGGCCACCCAGCAGGCCAAACGCAAGCAACGGCCAGTCTATTCATGTTTACCTTGCCACCAGCGAAAAGTGAAGGTGAACCTCCTTAGCAATGCCTCAGCCAACCATGTCCCTCTCTCGATAACACGAACATGAGCTTATCAGGACCCGTGCCGCATAGTGCAACCGGGTGTTACCATGTAAATCATGCTGTTTGCGTGGTCTCCCGGATGAGTGCACATTCCCTCGATCCGCCGAGGAGCAGAACTACATTAGTCAATCCGAGTACATCACCCAGCTGGAAGAGCGATGTCGGACCTTGGAACGGCGATTAGCCCATCTGGAAGCCGTGCGGCAACTGGTGATGCACCGCGCCAATGAACCCCCTCGCGAGCAGTCCCAGGACCCTCATGGGCCTGGTCTGCTCCGAGACGATGAAAAGGGAAAAGGTAGGTGACGACTACTACCGACCTGGAGCAGGAGGGTCGTTTGGGGGCAGTTGGAGTCATTAAACTCACAGTCTCGTAGACTCCACCCTTGGACGCGATGACGACGATCCCGATGGCAAACATGACGCCGACGACGCCGACGACGCCGACAGTGAAGATAGTGACGAAGTCAAGGTCCCTCTGGAGTGTTCCCCGGGCGCAGCTGTCCTGGACATCTTCATCGAACGCCTTATCGAAGACTGTTGTCCACTCAGCAAGCGTGAGACCGGGCTCAAACGATTTATCTTGAGCGATGCATCCCAGATGCGGGGTCGATCAGAACTTCTGCAGGTCGCCTTTGAGAACACGGCATTGATGTTCATCGGGCGCACCTGGGGCGACCGAGACATTGAGATGGCGGGCCATCGACACAACATGTACGCGATTCGCATGATGCGCCGGGCGCTTCGGCGGTGTAGTGGCCAACCGGTGCCTTTGGACGTGTTTGTGGCCGCCTTCATCTTTATTATACGCGAGGTGTTCACCGGCGATAGTAGCGCATTGATGAAGCATTTGCTGGGTGCTGCGCAGCTGTTGCAGTTGCGCAAACCCGAAGAACATCAAACAGGCATTGCGCACGCCATCTTTCTGGACCATCGCATCTATTGGGTAGGGAAGCGAATCACCTCCCTCCCCTCCTCCAAGAACTGGTCCATTATGCGGGAGTGGAACTAATTGAGGCTATGTACATACACGCAGATCGCTGGCTCAATTCTTCTCCGGCGCCCCCTGTTTCTGGTCCACCCGGATTGGATGAAAGTCCCATGGGCGCATAAACCGAAAGATCTTCTTCACCAGCTGCTGGACATCGGGGCGGAAGTGCCCTGCTACCTTTCCCAGACGGAGAAATACCGGGCGGAATTGGCGTCGGGAAGACTCAACTACGAGGAACTGTTGAATGGGCATGGCTCCCCAAGTGACTGGGCCCAAACCCTCGACCGTCGCCTGGAGGACTGGTATCACCACCACATCACCCGCTATCCCCACGGATCCATCATTGAGTCTGACCACAAGCTGGATGCTTCATTCCCCAATTTCGCCTGTCGTCACCCCGACAACGGGCATACATTCACTCCCCGGCTCTTGACATACCCCGACCTCCTGCTGACCACTGTCATGTGCTACTACTGGGCTCTACGCATCACCATCGCCGGTGCTAACCCAACTCCACCCCCTCGCCATCAGCGGTATCAATGGGCTTGCAACATCTGTCGGAGCTTGGAGGCGTACATCACCAGGGGACCCCGCTGTTTCATCTATCGCATCCTATACCCGATTATTGTAGCTTACCAGACCTTCGAGCGGGGCTCCATCGAGCGCTGCTTTGTCGACAAACTCTGTCGTCGCTTGGACGAATTATACCAGGTTAATGTTTTTCTCAACCTCATGGCCCAGATCGGCAACACTACGGACCTGCCAGGAATCTGATCCTTCTCCTTTTTCTCTCCTTCTGTCTCTTGATTCGGTCCTCTTGGAATGGCCCCCACAATCTCTGAACATATTAGCAATGGCCATGAAAGAGGCATGAATATGATACCTGATCAATGCTGTAGATGCTGTTCGTTTTTATTTCATTTTTGGCACTAAATTTAGGCTCTTCTACTTAATCCTCCCTCCCGCTCTTTTTTTTCTTTCTGCTCTTCATGTTGGTTCTTCTTTTCTCCTTTTTTCAGTGTTTTCATTGAGGAGAGTGGAGCGTTTTGGCTTGGGGTCGGCCGAGGGAGTCTGCGAGTATTTGTCATGGCATGGTTTGGAGCGATCTAGACCGGGCTTTCTAATCGTGATGCACCACTGTCACCCTGAGTTCTTACTGAAAATTCATCAAGGCATTAAGAGGTCAGCATGCAAAGGAGTTGTGGGCATCTACCAAGATCATTTGTTCTTCTACACTGGCAGTGCGCATACTCTTGTAGGGTCGACGGACGCAATCGGAAAGGATCAATGTAAGTGGGTACTGTACAGCATCATTCTTCGCCGCGATTTTCCGCTCAATTGGTTGGCTGGTAGCCCATGGGCCTTCCAATCAAATACAGGTCGACCAGCGGTAATACCATGAACAGTGCAACATGAGCTTCTGGAGACTCAGTTCACCCAGGCAATGTGTCTTGGTGGACCAACCACGCCGTCTGTCACTCAGATTTCGGTGAAATGAGCATAAATGAAGGCCATTGAGTCCAAATCCTCTCTCCCTGACGCCGATTTGCCTCGCACAAAACACACTAGGTGGACAGGCACTGCCACCGTGGACCTTGATTTCATTTGCTGGAATGGGCCCAGCGGTGCCGGTTGCTCCCTGCAGTGCCCACCTCAGGGATTAGGACAATTTGCGGTCCCCTTCCTTCACCGGCGGAGCAAGGCTAGTCTAGATTAGGCTGACAGATGAGCAATCAGGCAAAGTTGCTGATGGGAGTAGTTCAAACTAACGGCCTGATTGTGGGCTCTCCGGAGTCAGCCGAGTAAAGGCCCTTCCTGGGCTTTCAATGGACGTGGATTGGATATGGAGAACCCTCAATGTTCGATTGACAAAGGGGAGACAGCTACACCAACCAAGCCCGAGTGGAGACGGACTGACCAACGGCTCCCGGGTGGTAATTTATGTTGTATGAATCGGCTTCCTACCAGCCGAACCATATTTTCACCCACTGCAAGTGCTGACCACAGGCAGACCTTGAGTACACCACACATTGAGATGTCTACGGGCCCCAAGAACAAGCACGCCGTCTATTCTGGAGAACTGTTGATGCTACTAGCCCTGCCGAGCAGTCTGTCTATGCAGTGGGAATGAACAATGCTTGCCAGCAAAATCCGCTCAAGCACCGGGGATGGATACATCAATCAGCCATACAGATCACCCGCGCTTTCATGGTGTGGCGATTGCCGTTTTCCCAGTTTATTCGTGCTACTACAGCCCAAGGGGGAAGTATCCTTCCATTTGACCAGCTAGCTAAGCAGGGGCCCGCTGAAGGCTTGCTCTCTTTATAAGCGAGGCCAATAGTTTGGTGCGCGATCATTCCTCCTCCGTCATAGGCCGGCTAGATGCCTACGGTACACTCGTAAGTGGTCGCAAATGCTCTTCCGGATTGTTACCGCCACTAAGCCCTGCGCCCGCACTCTTGTGTACAGGCAAGTCAATTACTAGCTCTATTTACACACAGCTGTGTTAAGACTATCCTTGGGCCCTATTGAGCCATGCAGAACCGACAACGATCCTATCAGTCACGAATAGGCCTCTGCCACTTCCAGCATGATTATTGAGACTTCAAGTTACCTCCAGCCGGAGATTCTTATCTGTGATGAATGGTTGAGTTGTAGAAATTACGGCAGTCTTATCTTCCCCCCAAAGTTCAAAAGCTCCTGTTCATTGCCGAAAGTGAAAAGTGGAAGTACTTTTACTGGCCTAGTAGGTTTGGTGGATTGGCAGACCTTGCGCATGGCGCATTTTCAGCAAATGGACGGATGGGTTGAGGCAAGGGCTAGTCGACGGATTCCAGGCGCTGTAAGCAATTTAGCGTGGTTGTGGGGCAGACGGGGATGCGAAGGTTTATCGCCGAACATAACCTTGAAAAAAAACTGTTCCAATTTGGATGGTCCCGCCCGCTATGATGTCATCGCCCTCCCCTGTCACACAAATCCAACAACAACCCGTCCATGACAGCATCAGACAACAACATTGTTGTCCCTCTTGACATAGATAGAGAACTACTTGCAAGGCACTCCTTTGCATTACGGCTAGACCCCGTTACTATAATCAGCAAAACAGGTTGGCTGCATGGAAGACCCCTGCTGTATCTATCTCTTGATTGTGTGTCGATGGTGGATGTATACCACTTGGATCTATGGGTGGCCAGGGTCGCTGATTTCCAGGTGAAAAGGTGACAGCCCGCGACCGGCTCTAGCTTAAACACGTGGACGAACCCGTTATGACGGAGTTTTGATTCATCAAGACAGTCGATAAACCAATCATATTTCTAAAGCAATAAATACTAGAAATCTGTAGACCGGACTACTACTCGGTAAAATGCTCGTGGCACCGGTGTTAAGTGCCCGATGGAACCTTATTCTCATTTGAAATATTGAGTACGTGGAGTACACAGGGGCTCAGCAGAACAGACCTTGTGAAGCATTCTTGTATAATATGTCAACAACTTACATAATCAACCACAGATAAATCACGTGAACCGTTATGCTTGTTGTCGGACTCAGAACACACACTATTATATCCAGCTGTTGCACTACAATATGAGGGCTCGTTTGCCGGTCAACTTCTTTTTGTACTGCCACTCCCAGTATTAACCCTGTCGATTGGAGCATATGATGCCCCGAACATCTCTCCCAACAATAGTGGCACTGCATTCTAGGGTTATGTGTACATGGCATAGAGTCGCAGAATACAAAGTAAAAAACCCTTTCAATCAAGCGCACAGTATCGGATCTGTGCCTAAGCATTATTGACACCTCGAATCACTCAGAGAATGAGTCATCGGACAGAAGATCAGATAAACTCAGGCAGGAAAATTATTTCTTGAGTATCTGAGCCGAAAGTACCCAGAAGCGGGAGTATGAGGCCACGAGTGCGGGCTACTAACTTGAAGTAGACTTTGCTATATAGGTGTGGAGTACCCATAGTTCTCATGACCTGGACGCAACAGGCTATGTGCAAGACCTCATGCTTAGTTAAGGATATCCATAGTTGAATTTAAGAAACTGGGCTCACTTCCTTAAATGGTATTGTTGCTAAGTATGCAGCTCCTCTTTCTAGCACCGGCACAGGCGATGTAACAACAGGATTGCGCCACTACTCTTCTGAGTCCAGTTAAAGCTAATACATTAATAAACGTGATTGAGCCGATCAAATGCTGATACTTAAAACGCCCCTTCTGAATTCACGCGACTAACAACCGTCGTGGCTGTAGTAACAGGGGAAGTATGGAACAGCAAATGGTGCATGCATATACCAGAACTCCCGGTATTTTGAATTTGTAAGCCAATAGAAGATGATATCTAGTTTTGAATCGACTACTGTTTGCAGTGAGAAACTCTGAACTCATGCCAGGTGGTTACAGGGGCCGAGCAGACTCGGCTTGTCCAGGTGTCTTTTGCAACCCCTCAGGCCTCGCACAAATAGGGTTGGCGTTCGACTTGTTATCTATTCTATGGTTCGAGCCGCAATATTTCTTTGATGTTAATAAGGCACTGCTCCTATGGGCAGGACCTAGAAAAACTTTAGATTCTGTGACTCCTCAACAGGAATAAAAGCTGAATAATGACGCGGCCATCGTAGGATCATAACCACCGACTGGAATATACCATCCCGGTGCTTAGACAAAGATTAATGCATGTCCGATGTAACACGAATAGCTTTATCTGAATCACAGGACGGCTATCAGGGAATCAATTTTCCAGGATGACATTTATAAGCGTGGATAGGGAATAGACTACAAGCAATGCATAACAAGGACGTCAATTCTCTGCTTCTACATGGGACTTATAGTATGGCAGCGCACAAATCCAAGAGGACGGATATTTTATCGCTTGGTTACAGCATCTGGGTCTATTAGGATAACCTTTACTTATTTTGAAATTAGCCTCGGCAGCTTCGACAATTCGGTCCGGCCAGACTTACACTACATATGCAAAGTAGCTCTTCGAGCCAGCATACTGGAATTAAGAAGGGTGATCGAAGTACATTGGTCTGGAATTGTTAGTATCAAGACCTGTGGCAGGCAGTTGTTTACCAGCACTTTACGCGCACGGCTCATAATTCGACAAGTTCAACAGTAAGAAATAAGCCAAGCTGTAAGGCGTGCTATTGACCTAAGACTATTTTATTTTTTTTTTTGGTGTAGGTATGGACCAATAACAACTAGGCTTAGAATAATAACTAGGCTTAGAAAGTCGGGCGCAGCGAGTAAACCTACTTAGTAGAGACAGTTGGACGGTTCAGCCTGGGCAGGCTACCGGCAGCAGACCTATCGATTTCCGCCTCGCCATCTAGCCATATCTGAACCACTTGGACGGACTTGTCAAATGTCATGTACTAAGCTGCAGCCGAGACCGGCACGTCTATTCTGCCATGGTGTGTTGTTCGAGACATTTCCAGCGGGATAGTGGCCAAAATGGATTGAAGAGACCCCGCTGAAGCAAGCCTTTATTACCGGATGGGAGGTCCGATAAATAGTTTGCACAGCCACAGCTTGGACGAAACCGAGTGGCTGCTTGATTATGACGAATGTGAGTGAGGTGGACAGGTGATGCTCGGTTGGGGGTTCATATTTGTCGCTTGTATCATTATAATGAAGATGACAAGATATGGATCCAGGGGCTATTGGGTAGGCTCGAGTTCAGGTGTCCGGCATACTCACCGCGGCACCATGAATCAGGGTGATCACGACCTTAAGGACTTGTTCAGGCTTCAGTCACACCTTGAAAATTAGATGTACTGGAGCTGTCCCATCAGAGCACGCGTTGGAAGAGCTTTGATTCAAAGGATTGAATGGAGGGCCGGTGTTTGAGAATCTAATGGGCATTGACGCCGGACAGTGTCCGCGACAGCCTCCCTTTCGCCAGCAGTTTTTGCCTGCCCAATTGAACTCAGTGGCACCTGAAAGTATAGGGCAGTAACTGCTCGGGATTGAGGAAAATGCGTCCGATTTACTTGATTTCTTGGTACCACCGGTCAACAAGGTAATGTAGTACTTGAAAATCTCGCAGAGAACAGTTGCGCTGAGCAGTAGGCACTGGCGCACTGGCTGGAACATATTAAATAATGACAAGCCCGACCAGGCTGAATATACCAATATCATTATAATTCCTGCTGGTGTCCCTGAATACTCCATCCAGCAGTCAAAGTTCGCGCTCGAGCTAATTCTTCTTCCGTCGGCATATTAACAACCATCAAGTAAAGTACTTTCTTTAGGCATTGTCAGTCATCAAGCAGGAAAGGAATAAGCTCAAGTGGAAGACCCATACCGAAGCAAGTAGCTTCTTCAAGCTGAGACCCCCGCCTGTACGCCGACCAGTCGTAGCACGGGAAAGCTGTTGTTGCTGGTACACATGGTCATCAAAGTATCCTGGATTCTCCCGGTTGGTGTGGTTGGGATTTGCCTTTCCCTGATCGCGATAGGCCGCCACCTGGGAAGCAGCCAGATTGACCAGCCCGAGAAGACCACCACCGCTTCGTCGTCCTCCTAAACCGCGTTCTACTTCGTCCCGGGCGCCCAAGCCACACCTCTGCTGTAAAGCTCCTCTCATCCCGCTCCCAGACAGACTATTGTGGATCGGATGCGTAGGATCGCTGTACTTCGAAGCAAATGTTGGCTTTCCAGCTTGGGTGAGATGGCTGTCGGGATTCTCGGCGAGCTGCAGCAGGTGTATATCAGTCAGTCAGATTGTCACCAGCCAACGATGAGTAGAACCAGGAACCTGGTGATACTCACAAACTTGGCCTGTGCCCGGCGATCCAGGTAATCATCGAGGAACTGCTTTCCGCGCGCCATCCTCTTCTTAAAGCCCGCTTGCTCATCCTTGGACGCCATGGCGAGGAAGTCAAGACCCGGGAAGACGAGCTCCGCCGTCTGGATTGACTCGATGCCATTAGTGACGCCGCTCGACAACTGGAACTGATGTGACATCCGCCCTTGGCCGTCCATCCTATTTTGGATGGTGCTGTTGACATCCATATTAGTGCGGGCGTCGGAGGCTGTAGCGTCCCATGTCATTACGAGGCAGTAGAGCCCACGCGGTCGGAAGAAGTCCTGATTCAGCTTGTCGAGGGCTTTGTTTTGTCTAATGATTTTTTGTCAGTACCAACTGGTTCACAAGAAAATGAGTAGTGGGAAGGTTCATACTTACCGATACCGACTCTGCGCCTCAATTGCAACATCGGTAGCAACCATGATCGCCACTGATATGGCCGTGGAGATTGCGAAGGGCAGCGGGGTTGCCGCTATCGATGCCAGGTTGATGGCATTGATCCACGGATTGGCGAGGCTTGCTTCGTTCAATGTCTCGATCATGTCGAACCAGGTGTCCTGGTCAATGCCTACGGATTCCAGGTCGGGAGCATAGGCGCGGATGAACCCGCGCTTCTTGTCCTTGGGACGGCGCTGAGGAATCGCGACCGGGTAAGGAAGTGCGGTATTGGGACTCAGCGGAACTTCAGGAGGAGGACGACGAAGAAGAAAGGCGGCAACCACTTTGTCTGGATTGGCAGTTCCCTGTTTGCTCTTCCTAGGCGTATACTCGGGGCTCTTCATGACCTGCTCCTGCGCTTCGTCGAGCTGCCACGAATACTCAAGGTCATTCTGAGCAGTGTTTGAGTCGGCTAGAGTTTTCTGGTTCTCGCTAAGACCGTTTTTTGTGTATGGCGGAGGCAAAGGGGAGGCCGAACGGGATACATTTTGCTGTTCGGATTGTTCTAGGGATAATTCTTGTTCCTCTAGTGAATCCTGCACTTGCTGTTCTTGAACCCGCTTCTCTTTGCCAGCTTTCCTTGCCTTCTTATATCCATGAACCTCGGTTGCAAAACCAATGCCTGAGGTGATTCCATGGACCAAGGTGCCAATGGGACCTCCATGTTCTGATTGTGAACGGGGCATTATCGTGGTTTGTGGTGTGGTGTGGTGTGGGGTGTGGCGATGGTAAGCAATGATGATTTCTAGGATCTCTTTTATTCAACAGCCTGAGAGTTGTGTCAAGAAAATTGGAAAGAAGTGTCGACTGGAGTGTCTCTTTATAAGAGATTGGAGGATCTCAGGTGAACAAAGCAGAGGTGATTGAAAGCACAGCCCCGCGGGGGGACCGTAAGCGGGATTGCCGAATGGGGCTTGGAGTGCGAGAAGTTACTAGTCCCAGTTGGGCAACCACCTCGATGCCCCTGCACCCTGCCAAAGAAAGCTTAAATCTACATTCGTCCAATTGCACCACAGGGAAACAATCACCAGAATCACTCAATATAAACTATACTAGTAAATTTAAAATCTAGAATAGTAAAAGTGTAAAGTTATTCTTCTGTGCATGTTACCTTCACCCTTTTTTTTCTCAATTCATTTTAGGTAGCATCCGACTATCACAATAGATAATGTCTGGAAGCTGAAATAAGGAAGTGAAGTTTGCCGAAGTAATTGTTCTCCTCAAAAGAGGCCGGGATTCTGTGCTTGTTGGCTACGGCTGTGGAGGCCTAATCCTCGTCGAGAAACCTTGACTTTTGCGCGCAGAACGCAAAGGCATAGCTAGAGAGGTCTATCTCTAAGATTAGTACAAATGATGATCCTGTCGATATTCTGTGCTTTATCGCCAGTGTAGCGTATAGAGGTTGATTTAATGTGGCTACAAGGCACTTTTCCGGCCCTGAGCCGAGATGTAACAAAGGCCTTGATTTATTGACACCCACTTTCCAACAATAAAAAGGTTGACCACCCCGCATCCACCACAGTTTCAATTCAGGTGATACCAAGAACGCAGACTGCTTGCGTTGTTAAAATACCTACCTGTTTTGCAGCCCTCCTGGAAGCCTTTCCTATAATTTTTAGCTTCGAAAGGCTATAAGAGTTTCTTATTTGGAGAGATACAACTGAGCAAATGTAGTTGAACAATCGGTTCAGAGAAAACATGAATGTAGCATCTGTGATCCGCTGTGCTATAGACTGGCTGCTGTCAGCCAGCGAGGTGTTTTCGAACACGAACTGCTCTATTAAGAAAAAAAAAACAAAAACAATCCAGCATATTGAGGCTTATCAAGATTATGACAGTCCATTATAACACCTAGTCTAATATCCAATGACCTCATAAACCTCAGTGAGATACCTTCTGTTGTGCGGCCAGATACTCCTTGCTGAATGCGTAATCATTGTAGCCGACCTCATTCTTTGGTAGATAAAAAGTCGGCCGGTTATACTTGTTAAGCTCAATCCCATGCCGGACTCTAAAGACCAGATCAGGATTTGCCAGAAAATGACGACCGAAAGCAACTAATGTGTTCCACTTCTTGTATCGCTCTTCAAGAGCCCAGACTGCCGTCTCGGGATGGTAGCCCCCCGCTACAACAACTGGAGACCGGTTATCCCAAGCTTCTAGTATAAAGTTCAAGGTCTGCCCCTGGTTGACAGCTTTACCTCCAAAGATCAGTGCTCCTGGGTCCCCAGTCGCTTCCACAAGAGACAAGTAAGCCAGTGGCGGCACCGTTGATTTCAACTGCGCAATGACATAGAGGTACTGTCCGTGGATGTCCTTTTTCTCAGCCTGCTGAAAGGCCGCATAGGGGGAGAGTCGCAGAGCGACTCGGTCGGCACCAATAGCGTCCACTACTGCCTTAATAACCTCCAGGACTAGCCTTGCACGGTTCTCTGTTGATCCACCCCATCTGTCAGTGCGCTTGTTGACGGCATCAGAGAGAAATTGATCAAGAAGGTAGCCATGGGCGCAGTGAACCTCTACCCCATCGCCCCCAGCGGCAATGACTCTCTTAGCAGTATCCGCAAAGCTTTGGATGGCTTCCAAGATTTCCTCCTCTGTCATTTCCTCGGGGATGGCATCAACACCCTCCATCGGAACAGTGCTGCTGGAACGGTACTTCAGGCCTTTTCTCGCTAAAAGTTCTGGGTGAGAGGCCCGGCCCATTCCCCAAATCTGCTGGAAATAGTAGGACCCCTTCTCATGGACCGCGTCAATGATATGTTTCCAAGCCGCAACCTGACGTTCCGTAACAAAGCCCGGGGTGTTTTCCTGGCCCTCTTCGAGATGGGAGACAGCAGTCGCTTCTGAAATGACAAGTGTTCCTGGCGTCGACGCACGGTCGGCATAATACTTGGCCATAAAGGGCAGCGGGGTATGGTCATCGTCATTCCGATTTCGGGTCAAAGGAGGGAACACAATGCGATGGTTTAGCGTCATCTTGCCCACCTGTAACGGCTCGAAAAGTCTGCTCGATGCTGGATTGATTGTGTGCGCCACAGACGTGGCGGGAGGCGCTGGAGCGTTGAAGGTGGTAGTGACTGTTGCCATCCGCGCAGAGTGTTTGTGATTTTTAGTAAAGACAACAAGAAAAAGATTGAAGCACTCGGTTGCAGAGACTGTAAGTTAAGATCGGATCATAGAAGTGAAATGTAGCACAAAGAAGGGACAAGCAGTTACTGTTGTTGGTGGGTAGTATAAGATGCTTTATACCCCTAGCACAGATCCAATGATGGTGCTCAATACTCCCAATTGACCCTGTTCTGGTTCTTGGAAACTACTAACTCTGGCTGAAGTCGGTCAATACGCCCCACTTTTGTCCAACTTGAACTGCGGCGGAGTTGCGGAGCAGTGCGGACTGATAACAAAGCGGTATGTGTCTGTCTTCCCACCAATAGGAGCAACTCCTGCTGTCAGACGTTTCGTCCTTTACACACTGTCAGTGCTTTAGCAAGGGGAAAGCCACTTAAGCCGCGTTGCTTACAACTCGATTCTACTTTTGCTTTGTTTTTGGTTAGTGCCAAGGACCCTGATTTGAAATCAGTTAACCTCGTGGGGCGGTGACTCATGTTTTCTGCAACAACCCAAAACAGGTGCTGCAAAACAGCTACAAGCTAGTTACTTCCTCATCTTAACATATGTTGTGTTCTCAGCCATCATTGAGAGGATTGCATCAGCCTAGGCTGACCCGCTGTACAGAGGTCATGATGATCCATGGCTGTTGGCTCCCCCCTGTTGTCTGACAGCCTTATCCAGAGGGACGAAACAGCACAGACCCAGTCAAGGTACATGCAATTTGGTACATTTCTCCCTCAGCCAATTTGGATTTGGAAGATCAGGAGAAACAGATACAAAGGGAATTTCTGATTGAAAACAAAATAAACAGTAATAAACATACAGTAGATTGGTCAGCAGCTCTTTGTTAACTATTCAAGCTTCAAATTTGTCAGCTAATCAATGATAGTAATCCTTAAGATGCCCGCGACTCCGAGTCCGCAACTTATCCGTCACACAACTCCGCAGCTCCGCAATAGAGGCTTGCTAAGCACCAGCGAATCGAAGAACGTATAAGTATCCCTTCCATTTTAGAATAACACAGTTCGAATACAAATGACATACATTATTATTGTTTTACAAGTTCAATAACAGCATCCACACCATGACACCTACCCCAAATAGCGATACAACCAAATCATGTTTTCCTTTAGCTGGCGCCCGACAGGATGGATGGTCTAACAGTGACAGAGCAACAGCTACATGCTTCTGCGGTGCTGTCCAGCTGAGCTTTGTAAGTCCATTGATCTATGCCTCCCTACTCTTCCTATTCTTACAAAAGGCAATACCTTCAGCCAACCCAGGGCCCCGGCCTAGTCGATACCTTCATTTGCCATTGTACGGACTGCCGCAAAATCACCGCATCGATGTTTGCCTCGAACTTTACAATCAATGACGATTATTTGGTTCATGAGCGCGGCCGTGAATCACTATCATCATATAGCCAATCCAAGACTGTGGGCACGGGGAACAACATGACCAACTTCTTCTGCTCAATTTGCGGCTCCCTGATGTACCGTGTTGGGACTGGTTTTCCCGGAATGAGCATTCTACGCATTGGGACAGTAGACGATTTCAACCTGCACGAGGGAAAGTTAAAGCCTCGGATTGAGCAATTCGTCAAGGATCGTGTGGGATGGCTAGGGGCGGCTGAGGGTGTTAACCAGGTTCATGGCTATGCCTATGCTTGAGGACGGTTTATGTTTAACAATGAGTTGATCCTGATTAGACTCTAAATAACCACAGAGACCAAAGACCGGGCCGGACCGAACCGGACCATACTCCGCTTTGGTCCTGATTCTAAGGATCGCTGGGCAGTCTGAGATTATTCAGAAATATACTACTGCATTTTAGTATAGTTTTATACTTCTTTAAACCTAACACTATTTTCTTCAAATAAAGTTTAAAATCTGGAGGGTCCCGATTTATATTTATCTTATGATTTATCCGGGTGGTTGGGGTGGGACCGGTTAGACAGAAGATAAAGCAGATATGTTAGGCTTATACTGTGATAGACAAATATATATAAACAATTAAATAGTAATAAAGGTTTTTGGTTATATTTTGAAACAGCCTTTTATTTTATACTTTTCTATGATAAATCTTATATTTAGGTAGTTACCTGAATTCATTAATAGTTAGCAACTACTCTTGAATTATTCGAATATTGAATAAAAATCTAATAAAGTAATATTTATTTAGTTACAAGAACGCTTTCCAGCAGCAGCAGTATATAAAATATTTTAATTTAATAGGATACTTCTAAAATTTTTATATTCTATCTAATTATCTTCAAAGTCTTTGGAACATTTTGATAGTTATATTTCTATGTAGTTCGGCTGTTACATGACGGATAGATTGTGCTAATCGAAATGTGCTTTCTAATAAGAAGAAATAGCTGGAAGGATATTTCTCCTGTTTGTACAAAATTCTTTATATGTGCTAAGCTAGCGTTAGTTGTAGTATATAGTATGCGAGGCCTCGGGCACAAACTGCTGCCTGAAGCCGAGCTCTATACTAGGGCCTTGGTCCCATGTCAGGAACTACTTGACGCAGTAGACATATTAGTTAGGCAAGGCAAAAGCAGTCAAAAGTAGTCTCCTATTAATCATAAGACTAATCCTTAGGGATTCTTAATCCCCCTAAGGATTTTAAGTGCTAATATATATCTTGGAAAAAAGGGGTCAGCTTTATACTGATATAAGTGTTATGGGATGAACTTAGATTGGTTCTAACCTAAGCATGCTGTACAAACAAGAAGGAATAGTTAAAGAACAGAAAGGTTGCGGAGGTCCGGTGGAAAGATAAAAAAACTGCAGTTATATACAATAAATATTATAAATCTATTCTATAACAGTACCCCTTTTTTTATTTAGATCTTTAAAAAAGACTGTTTACTGAAGCAGGCGCTGAGTATAGAACTACATACTGTAGTTTTTATATAAATTTTATTCTAAATTTTAGAAGGCTTCTTATAATTAAAAATCCAGTAGTTATTTAACTTATAATACAGATAAAGATTATTCTCAAAACAATAAAAACAGTAAGATAAGATAGATGTAATAAATAAAACTAATAAGCTCGAACAAGCTGCAAATATTTTTATTAGATTTATATTTATTAGATCTGATTGGGTAAGTATAGTAGGCTTTAAAATAGGTTTAGTAGTAGATTTAGAAATCAGTTGGATAGTACACCAGTCGGCATACTAAATAAGTTTAATATATTTATTATATAAATAATTAAATATTAAGTTATTAAAGTTTTCTAAGGTCTGGTGCAGGTTTAATTGCAATCCCTAGTAGAGTATGGTTATATATAAGATATCCAGCTAGGCAATTATATCAGCTTTATATAAAAGTTATTTAAAGTATACAAAATAAGTAATAAGTAATTTATTATTTTTTTAATATATTAAAGTGTTATGGGACCAAGGCCCTGTTATAGAGCTCGGCTTCAGGCACCAGTTGGCACCTGAGGCCTTGCATACTAAGTACTAAACTAGCACTAGCTTAGCACACATATAAAAGAATTTTGTACAAACAGGTAAAATAGCTCCTTAGCTATTTCTTCTTATTCTAAGGCATGTTTTAATTAGTACAATCCATCCGTCCTATAACATTAGAAATAGCTTATTAAAAAAAGCCCTAGACAGAGCCCGACTAGGCGTACAAATAGAATAGAATAAAACTAAAAAAATTATTAGAATAATAAAATAAATAGATTAGAAAGGACTGCAGCCAACTGCAGCGTCTGCAGCTATATATAATAATATACAACTTTTTTTATAGGAGCTAATCAGCCTCCGTGCGGAAATAGCAAAACAGAAACTAGCTTTTAAAAAGTAGATAAATAAATTACAGAGTTATAATACAACTTCTACTATTAATAGTAAATTAAAGGAAAACCTTTTACAGTAACTGTATAAACCAAACTACAGACCCCACCCTCAACACTCTAATATAGAGCTATTTAATAGGAAAGACAAATATAACTACAAACCATTTAAACTAAATATATATATAAAGCTTATAATAGACAGAAACTGCTATCTTACTAGACTAGAATAAGTTTTTTATATTTATAATAGACTACACGGACGTGCAGTACAACAGATTTTTCTTTAGATTAAATTCTAAAATATAGAAACAGTACAACTAGAGGATATACTTATAGTAATAAATAAAGTATTTAGAAACCCTAATATATAATAAAAAGCTCTAAACTGGATTAATATAATAAAGCAAGAAAGAATAAAACTGGAAGAATTTTTAAATAACTTTAATAAAGCTCTGCTACAGGTAGGAGGATATAATTAGTCGGACGAACAGAAAAAAGCCATACTAAATACTGCAGTAAACTAGAGGTTTATTAAAAGATTAGTTAGAATTTCCTAAAAGTCTATATATAAAGGATATTATAACTAACTGCACTGCGTGAACCACAATCTTAATAAAGTATCTTTTTTTTTTAAAAAAAGCTATACTAAGACCGCGCCAGCGCGATACAAACCGAGTTTTAAACTAATAGAGTAGAAACCCATTTAGATAGCTGCTGTATAGTAAAGAAAATACTACTTCTACTTAACAACCGATAACTTCTAGGGACAGGCTTAATAAGTAACACCCAGTAAAATATAGAAAAAATACAAAGCAGATTACTGCTTTTATTACAGATAAAATAAATATTTTATCTACTAATATTTTTTAAAACCTACTATATAATTAATAAGTATAGCTGCAGCTATGCCTACTTTTTAGTAATAAAAAAAATAGTATCCCTTATCAGATAAAGACTTTAACTTAGAAAAAAAAAAGTCTAGTATAAAGTTATATATCTAGACAAAAATCGCTGGACAAAACTAAAAGAAAATAGAAAAGTTTTAAAAAAAAACATATAGTTATATATCTTTTTTTAGTAAAGGCTATTTTAAATCTTACTGTAACTGCCTGTACTCTTATTAACTTAAAATACCTAACCTATAGTATTATAAATAAAATATTTACTAAAGTAAATGGCCTGTCGACTATTAGTATTAATCTAAGACTAGTATAAAAAATCTTAGATAATAAAATACTAATCTACTTTATTATATAGATAAGAATAAATATAAGATCCCATACTAAGAAAAAAGCATACTTTTATATAATACCTAACAATCTTAGATATAATCTAATCCTAGGAAAAAGCTGGCTGTCCTGTTATAATAGTATTCTAAAACCAGGCTAAAAATAATTATTTTTATATACAACCAAAATAAGACTAAGAAACCTACTATATCTATAATATACAAATCTAAAACTTCAGCCAATTGTAAGAATAGGACTTAGAGACTATCTGTAGAAAAGATCTAAAAAAAGTATAGAAGTATTTATAGTTTTACTTACTAATATTTAGAAAGTACTCCAAACTAAAAAGGCAGTCAACCTATATATAATACTTTCTAAATATTATCAGAACTTTCTGCCTTTCTTCCAACTAGAGAATACAGAGAAACTACTGCTATACCAGAAAAAGAATATTAACTATAAAATCAAGCTTGTATATTAGAATAGAAAAAAGCCAGAAGTTTTATAGGGCTCTTTTTATAATATGTTTTAAAAAGAACTAATAATCCTACAGTCCAAACTGACTAAACTACTGGAAAAAAACTTTATATAAGTTAGTTACTTTTCAGCAGCAGCCCTAGTACTTTTTATATAAAAGCCAGAAGAAGAATTAAGATTCTATATAGATTACTAAATATTTAATATAATTATAAAAAAGGACTACTACCCGCTTCCCCTAATTTACAAGACCCTAAACCAAATTAGAAAAGTAAAATAGTTTACTAAACTAGATATTTTATCCGCCTTTTATAAAATCTATATTATAGAGGGTTAAAAATAAATAACAGCCTTTTATATACAGTATAGACTATATAAATAGCTAATAATACTCTTTAAACTAGTAAATATTCTAAATACTTTTGAAAAGTATATTAACTGGGTACTATATAAATACCTTAACAAATTCTATTCAGCCTATATTAATAATATATTAATCTATATAAATAGGAATATTAAAAAGCACCGCGAACACATATAAAAAATATTACAGAAACTAAAGAAAGCCAGTTTATTCTTAGATATTAAAAAGTATAAGTTTAAAAGAAAGGAAACTTTCTACTTTAGATTTGTCGTACGTATAGGGCAAGATATTAAAATAAATTCTAAAAAGATTAAGGCAATTACCTTATAGAAGAGCCCTAAGTTAGTAAAAGCTGTCTAAAGCTTTTTAAGATTTGCAAACTTTTACTGTAAATTTATCTCTGGATTCTCAGCTACTGTACAACTATTTATAAATCTAACTAAAAAAAATCAGCCCTTTTAATAGATCTAAGAGTGCGAGACCAGCTTCTGGATATTAAAAAAAAAGTTTATAACTAAGCCTATTCTCTGTTTTTTTAATTCTAAATATATAACAGTAGTAAAGACAGACTTTTTAGACTATAATACAGAAAAAATACTTTTTTAAATAAATAAAAATAGAAAGGTGTATTCTTACATCTACTTTTTTAAATAGAATATACCAGCTAAATATAACTATAAAATCTATAATAAAAAACTGCTAGTAGTTATACAGTATTTAGAAGCTTAGAATATTAAGTTATACTTAATATTAGAGTTTACAGTAGTTACTAACTATAAAAATTTAAAATACTTTTTTAAGCCCTGCAAACTTACAGAAAGATATATATAATAAAACTTAATTTTAAACAGATTTAACTTTAAACTAGTTTATTAAAAAGAAATAGAGAATAAGCAAGCAGATGTTTTTTTATAATAAAAACAAAATATATCCAACAAATAAAATCCTAGAATATTATTTTA